ACTGATGAAATGGCCTAATAACATATTTCTCAGATTGTGTTTCCATCGCATGTCATATGACTGTATCGAAATTTAAATTAGGGAGAAGCTTGGCTTAAGTGGAGTCCGCTAGCTAACTGGAGTATTTTTCCAGGCCATTATTTGTTCAGTGTTGGTTTGGGGGCTCTTTCTGAAACAAATCACATCCTGTGGTGTCTTGTTGGTGCTTGAGATGCTTTTATAAGTTATATGGAAAAATGTTTAAGTGCTTTTCAGTTTTGTTTCGGTTGAGCTCCACTGTATTTGAATATTATTGTAGGGTTTTTTTCCCTTGCATTGTTCTTCTTTGAATGGTTTTAATTTTTGTATGTGTGTGTGTATTTGATAATAAAGTTATTTAATTTTTTAAAAATTACATTTCTGGAAAAAAATCGTAAAATGCCAAAAAGGATCGGCATTAGAAAAGTTGAGTAGATTGTTAACCATTTGAGAAATGAAAACAGGAGCAAAGGCCCCACAAACAGACAAGAAAGGGCCAGGCTTCTTACAGCTGACTTCCGTCCACCCCGTGAGGGCAGAATCTGCACTGCTCGCAGATGGACCGTGGGTTGCCAGGACCAGAGCCTGGACGCCGCTCCTGGGACCTCAGCCTCCTGGTCCCCCCCACACCTGGCTGTACCCACTCACCCCAAGTCCATGCCTCCCTGTGTCTGAGGGCAGATCCACCCACCTGTCTCCAGCTCCCTCGCCCTGGTTCTCTGCCCCCTCCACCTGGTCCTGGCTGCTTGTCCTTGCCTGCCCTTCACTCTCTTGCCCCACCTCGCTCTGTGACAGCCACTTGTCTAAGCACAGCTGAGCCTAACTTCCTGCCCAGCCCTCGCCTGGGTGACCCAGCCGGATTGCCTGTACCATCTGGGTCTCCAGAATGCAGTAGTTGCAACCTCCACCATGTGGCTTGGCAGGTTTGAGGTGTGCCCTGAACCCTTGCTCTTTGATCACCCACACAGCTGTGTCCCTCCTGCCCTGCGCTGCTTCCTCACTGGGCTGTGGAGCCCCCCGCAGCGCGTTCACAGCTCCCAGCACCCTCCCACCTCCTCTGGACAGGGGTTGGGTGCCTGCCTCCCTGCTGGGACGGAGGAGGCTACTGATTCCAGTTCATGGCCAGCTCTCTGTTTCTGCTCCGTGCTGCCTCTCCGCCCTCCTGCCCACCCCCAGGTGTCCCGTCCTCTCTCCCCCCTGCACATCCCTTTCCCCTCTCCCAGGTGATCCACGGAGCCTTCTTATCTGAGGAAAGCCCAGCTATGCTCGCTTGTCCTGCTGCTGCTCCATGCTTCTCCGGTTTCCCTACAAGGCGAGCTCTTCGAAGACGCTGGCTGCCTGGCCTCCTGGGCTCCCCCAGCTCAGCCTGGTGGTAAGTGGTGCCACAGTTCTGGCCCCCCCTGTGTCACTGAAGGTCCCCCCCCCCCACCGGGTGCTTCTCTGGCCGGCTGTCACCCTCCCACCTGACCCGGCGTGTGTGCTCTGTCTCTAGCCAGGTATCCTCCATGAGGTCCAGTCTACGTGTTCAGCTG